TTTCGATGCTTAAACTTCTGTACTTTTACTTGAGTGACATTTTGAATGCAGGATTTACAGTAAGGCCAACATATTAAACTAGAGAATGCAATTCCTGAAGAAATTGCTAGTGGGAATGCTTTATGCTGAAAAGCTGACGCTGAATTGCTATGCTGAAATGTAATGTGTATGAAGAAAGTGAAGAATTTAGATTGAAATGATACATGAACACTGGGGGCTTGAATGTGTGATGAGTGAAGAAAAGAAAGTAAAAAGGCTTGTAAAAGCAGCAGAATATTTGAACTGCAAACTTTTGAACTAACTTGATGGCAAATGATCTGTCGCCATGCCAACGGCATTTGATGACATCCCATAATACGCTTAGATGCGTTGATGGCTGCATCGTTACCAAACCTGTGAAGTTTTGGGCCATTTGGAGCATTTTCACTGAAGTTATGAGAAAACCGTGTTTCATGGCGGGCATTGTGTTGCCATGGCAACGGCATGTCCCGTAGATGTCTTCACGGCTGGACTGTTAGCACACATGTGAAGTTTGAGCACTTTTTGAACATTTTCATAGGAGTTATAGCGACATCGTCTTTTATGGCGAGGGATGCGTTTCCATAGAAACGGCATATGGTGAGATCTCAGATTTGGCGTAGAGCTGTTGAGGCATGGACCGGTGATATACAAGTGAAGATTGGGGGACGATCGGACCGTGTCCATTGGACTTACAGCGACATCGTGCTTCATGGCGAGTGGTCTGTCGCCATGGCAACGGCATTTGATGACACCCCATAATACGCTTAGATGCGTTGATGGCTGCATCGTTACTAAACCTGTGAAGTTGTGGGCCATTTGGAGCATTTTCACTGAAGTTATGAGAAAACCGTGTTTCATGGCGAGCCTTGTGTTACCATGGCAACGGCATTTGAAGAAACCCCATAATTGACGTAGAGCTGTTGAGGGCTGGACCGGTGATATACAAGCGAAGTTTGGGGGACGATCGGACCGTGTCCATTGGACTTACAGCGACATCGTGCTTTATGGCGAGTGGTCTGTCGCCATGGCAACGGCATTTGATGACACCCCATAATACGTTTAGATGCGTTGATGGCTGCATCGTTACCAAACCTGTCAATGTGACATCATCGTGTTCCATGACACAGGTGTTTATATTTGAGCTAACGACGACAGCTGTGTGTCACCAATAATGTATAAAATAGGTGGAACATGTTGAAGTCAGTATGAAGTCTCCATCAGACAGAAAATAATAGGCTCAGACAGTCTGTTAAACTCCAGTGACCACGTCGTTAGCTCAAACACGAACACCTGTGTGTTATGACATCATCGTGTTCCATGACACAGGTGTTTATATTTGAGCTAACGAGGTGTGCAGAGATCAAAGGTTTCCATTGTTCTGAATGAGAGATGAACCTCTTACATGTGAATGAACAGTTAGAACTGACTGCTGTCAGTTGGAGTGATGACATCGTGTTCCATTACACAGGTGTTTATAGTTGAGCTAACGAGCTAGAGATGAAAGGTTTGCATTGTTCTGAATGAGAGATGAACCTCTTACATGTGAACGTTTTGTGGAAGAACGATAACGGATATCTGTGACATTTCAAAACGTGAAGCATGTCAAGGAAGTTGAGTATCTGAAGTGTAATTTTTGTGTACTTTCGGATTAATAATGTGGCCTTTTTGGCAGTTTAACTAAAGGTGTGCAGCTGCTGCTGTGAGGAAATATCTGCCTGAAATTACAATGGGCTTTAATGGAGACATGTTGAACGTTTTTGTCACTTCATGCCCTCAAGAGGCATTTTGTTGAATTATTTTTGCTTAATTATTTGTCATTTTTCAAGCTACGAGATGTTTTCCTACGTTTGTCATGAACAATTATGTCTCAAGAATGTAGGGTTTGGGAATTATGGCAGTTTTAAAAAAAAATATGAAGGCACATTTCAAGATTTCCTACCCTCTAGCTGTGACATCACGCACTCTAGTTAATGTTAAAATCTGAAGAAAACCTCTTTAACAAGGTCTGAACAATGTTTAATATCTCTAAAAGTAAGAATCAGATTTTAAAGTTGTGTTACACGAATAATGTCAGAAAGATGTGTAACATTTTCAAGTTGGAATGAGGTTTCTGAGTGAAAGTATGAATGAACAGTTAGCAGTTGAAGTCGCATGAAGATTTGTTGAAGTCTGAAGAATGTCTCCATTGACTTCCATGTTAAAAATTGGATGAATTATGTTATGTATCTCTGGAATTATGAAAGTTATGAATGATAAAAGTAATAGCCATCGATTCCCGACCGAGCTGAACGTTTTGATGTTTGAATGGAGTTTCTGCGATGTTGAATGTGGGAGGAGAAGAGGGCCAAAATAACTGGACGGAATAATACGAATTTTGTCCGTAGCATAACATATAGTTGGAATGCTGTATCAGCATTCCCACTAAATTACAGTTTGAGGTAGTTTTACTTTACTTTACTCAAGATGTCCATTCTAAGTTTCAACTAATATAGTATGACATAATATTTAAATGAGCCCAGAAGTATTTTCTTTTAATATTTAAATTAGCCCCACTTTTAGCTCTGCAACATTACAGCTCTGAACACATCAATGCAGCAATAATTATGTATGATTCTGAAATGGGCCATTCTGTATGACAAATACCTGTACATTTTGGTACTTATTTTGATGGTGATACTAATGTGCTTTTACTTGGGGTATATTGAGGTATTTATTAATGCTTGTACATGTGTACTATTAAGTAAGATTTAAAGGCTTTAACTTGTACCAGAATGCTCTAGGTCTAGGTAAAGTACATTTGCTACCTTTACTTGTGTAAAGACAAAGCCAGATAAGATCAATATTGTTTTGTTATCTTTTAATGTCAAGTTCACCTTGATGAGACTTCATATTAGATGCATTTAATAAAGCTTTAAATACCTAAAATATACAACAGGGGCAGTGGTGGAAAATAACCAAGTGCATTACTCAAGAAATACAGTTAAATAAGTATATTGACTTACAAGATCTAACAGCAGGTGACAAAACCTCTTTGGTTGAGGAGCTAACAATTAAATGTTTTTGATTAAAGATGAATGCCTTTGCCATTTCTATTAATTAAAATAGATTACACCTAACATGATGACTAAGCAGCAGCTTTAAGCCCAGCTGCTGCTTCATGACAGGTCATTTGTTTTGATTATTAACAGTGTACAGTAGGTATGTGCATCTCCATCACTGAGGCCGATGCAATGTGCATCTTGATACGTTGCCAACGATATGATACATTAACAATACATTTGAAGCACCAGGCGATGCGATACGATCGATACTCCCCTGTTGCGATACAGTTCGATATTATTTGATTCAACATTATGCGATTCGGGGCGATACGATGCGATTCAACACAATGCAAAATAATGATACAATTCAATATGGTATGACAGAGGATTTTGTTTTATTCCTTATATGCAGCAAATCATAAATTAACAAAAAAGTGCTTTACATATTTGGTTCTCTCTACTAGTCCTGCGCATCCCATTATGCCGTTTCTTTTTTTATCTTAAAAAAAAAAAAAAAACACCTGGACCTTTCACAAACAGGCCTTTTCACAAGTCCTTTGTAGTAGTGTTCTCCGTCTCCAGAGTACAGTTCAATTTTATAACATCACACAGTTAAACAATTTAAGGACGCATTGCCCATGATTAACAATGTGCAAATAACAACTACATAGTGCAATGCCCATACAACTGCCAGCCTGATGTGCTTTAAGCTGGTTACACACCAACCCGATTTTGGGAGTCAGAGGCCGTCAGAGGCAGTCGGGCATTCGCGGCGCCCTACTCAGGTTGGTGTGTCCCGCACCGTCGTCTCTTTACGGCACCTTTTCACACCTCCCGCGGCCGATTCAACATGTTGAATCGGCCGCGGGAGGTCAGAAAGTCGGCCCAAGCAATCACTCTGATTGGCTGTTCACACTACCGCTGCCTGCTGGTAAGGACAGTTATTGCCACTCGTCGACTGAAGTATTTGCGGTGTGTTCGTAGGCGGGCGGCGTAGCCGACGCAGGCGGCGTAGCTGACGTAAAAGTTGGGACGCCTTCGGTACGCGTTCTTTGGTCTCAGGTGGGTGTGTTGCGGCCTTAGCACTCATACATAGGCTACCTCACCAGTGAGCAGAAAGCAGTGGTGTGGTTTCTATATGAACAATGAAAAATACAAATGACCTTTCACAAACAGGTATTTCATAACTGCTTACAATTGTAAGGAATACATTTCAACTATTATTGGTCACAGGCTGCTGTAAACTAAACACCACTCTCTCTGACATAACACCTCACTGAGTGATTTAACTCATGTCTTACTTTCAGGTTTCTCTTTTCAGCAGCAGACCCCATGTCGCCTCTTTATGTGCGTCGCTAAGTTCCTCGCACTACTTGTGTACTTTAAAGCGGCACGGCATCGTTTACAATTTGCGAGCGATTTTTCAAGTTGACCGTCTTTCTTGAAAAATCCGAAGTGTTGCCAAACGTTTGATTTGTAGGTATTTTTCGGTGCGCTGTTTCTCTTTCTCCTCGACTTCCATGTGTGTTGAACTGAGACTCTCGGCCTCCGTAGTGCGAAGCAAAGATCGTCTCTGCTGAGTGCTGACAGGATGAGAGGATATTATATGAATGAATCGTTTTTTTACCGATGCAAAGATGCTACAATCGATGCATCGCGAGTTCAACCCAAACTGTAGCCGATGTGCACTCTTTCAACCGGTGCACTCGCATCTTGAACGTTTATGCCGGTGCACCGATGCGAATCGGTGAATCTTAACATCCCTAGTGTACAGCCAACTCCCTGATATGTTTTTGATAAAAATGGCTGTCAATTGTTCTGTGCTGGGAACATTTCCACAGCCAGAAGTTAACAAGATGTGATTAAACTGATTGGTATCGAAGTGATAGATGTAAAGGTTTCAGAAAGGCACAAAGAGCAGCAGACACAGAGACAGGCTGTAAATGATAAATTACTTTTATTGAGAAAAGAGTGATTATGAAAACAATGACCTGGTTGAATCGGTCTTGCCTTATGTGTGTATGTGTGTATGCGTGTGTACATCACTGAGATGTGGCCATGATGCTGGATACACCTGTGAGAAGAAATACAGGGAGATAAGTGGAGAAAAACAGAAAAAAAAGGAGAAAAGAGAAAGAATGTCAAACGTACAGTCACTTATCAGCACAAGACTAAAGGATGCCCTTAATGTAAAATATGAAACGTGCTGATTAATGTATATGGATATCTATGGATCTTTGGGATGTCTCGTTAAGAAAAACCCATCACAATTACTTTTATCTGTATGCACTGCGCTTATTCTTTTTACATCATACCTTTACATTAATTATATTATCAACGTTTTCATATTCCTTGATTGATATTTTGCACATTCCTGCACAAACTGCCCATGTTTCATTTGAAAACAGTATTGGAAGTATTTTTCATTGTGAAATGTTTCATTTAGTTTCCATAATTTGTGAGAGCTTAAAATGAAAAACCAAAATGCTTGTCAGTTTAAAATAAAATGAACTATTTTTTGCAAATCCCAATCTTTTAACATCTAGATTCATTCTGTGCACATGCAATTCTATGGTGATATGTTGATTCATTTTGAAAAGTAAAAGGTCCGTAACTGTCTACTGTTTCATCAGGATATAAGATCTAGCCTCTATAATCTCTCAAAACTACTTTTTAGCACAAACATGCAAAATGCAAATGAGGTATGTTCATTTACTCTCAGGAAATCTAGGTTAATTAGACACGGGGAGTCAGAAACACCAAGACACATGTAAACCTAATCGTGTCACCAACTGTGATTAAATGTCTAGTTTATTCCCCTCATTTCTGCATCAGTTTGAGCGGCAGGACTCACTCTCAAAGTCGATCTTTTCCACGATGTTCTTGGGCTTCACGCTCTCCTCCTGGTTGAAGATGAAGATCTGTCCTTCCTCGTCCTCCGTCCAGCCGTACTTATTCATCCACACCTTCACCTGCGTGTCTGCAACAACAGACAAGACCACCGTTAAGGCTAATTAGAGAATTTTGTATATTAAGATATGACAGTCATGAATATTATTATACAAGATAAACATTTCTGTTAAATACATTGTTAGCCATACTTTAAAAAGGTAGCTATGCCTATGTATTCAAAGTGTGTTTGAAATCACAGGCCTACTTGCGCAGTGGCCTACTTGCGCAGTAGCCTACTCACAGTCTTGATAGTGGTTTTCTTACATTTATTTACCACACTGGTATTTGAAGGACTTCATCTATCTGATAATCACAGGGATAACATGGATCAGCTTTCTTACATTTCTGTCATTATGGCCAGGCCATAATAAGCGGATGGTTGGCAATGCTTTACAAATCACTTTTCACTTGACCAGGATCTAGTCTTGACAGGTACATGACATCCTCCTGCCAAAAGCAATAACCCTCTACAACACCTCATCTCTGGCTGGCAGAAGACTTCCGTTTCTCCCTTTCTATTATCATGAACAATTTGCACATACTGTACTTACATATTGTACTCACACTACCTCACTGATATGGTTTACATTTAATAAAAAGCTACTGTGCACAGTCTTCATTTGTAGTTCTGTATAAAGTACACTATGTTTATGTTTCTGCCGGTCATAGATTAGAGAGTATTTTAATGTATTCTGTATATTTTATAGTGTGTATTCTTAGATACTCTTGTTAATATGTATTTTCTGTGAATATGTATATTTTTGCTTTCAATGTTTATTCTATTTTATCTTTTTTTAAAGATTTTTTATAATTCTTGTACAATGACTGTCAACAATGCTGCTGTGACAAAATATTTCTCAACTTGGGATAAAGTATATATTTATCTTAAAAAGGTAAGTAAAAATCCATATAAGACTTAAAGGTGGGGTAGGTAAGTTTGAGAAACCGTCTCGAGATCGCTAGAATTTGAAAATACAAAACCGGAGAAAATCTGCCACTTCCTTACAGAGCCCCTCCTCCAACACATACGAACGCGCACATGACCAATGAGGGCACGAGATAAGTTTGTGCACAGATGGAAGGCTGACAGGCAGGTAGGCCATCCAGTTATTTTAGCCGGGCCGGCTAAAATGATTGGTCGTGCTTTTTACAGTACTACGGCTTCCACAGATGACTTTTTTATGGATTTGTTGTCAAAGCACTTAAGATATTCATTGCTATCGGGATGTTAAGAGCATTCCATGGAATATAACAAAAAGTGTATCTCGAGCCGGTTTCTCAAACTTACATACCCTACCTTTAATTAGAATGTTCTAACAGTCAGTGCCTCTACATCAGGTACAGCAAATGTTTTGTCCCTATGTCCACCTAATATCAATTCAAACACCATGACACAATTCCATCAGATTAATGGTAAAAACTTAGAGGACATTATTCAACTTCTGAAATCCTCCTCCTGCTGCCTTGATATTATTCCAACAGGATTTTTCAAAGATGTTTTTCCTTGCATGGCCTCAGATCTACTTCATATAGTAAACACATCTCTTCACTCAGGTATTTTTCCAGAGGCCCTGAAAACTGCAGTCATTAAACCGCTCTTAAAAAAGAATAATCTAGATGCCTCAGTAATGAACAATTACAGGCCAATATCAAACCTGCCATTTCTAGGTAAAATCATTGAAAAAGTAGTATTTCAACAGTTGAGTAACTTCTTGCATTTAAATAACTGTTTGGATGTGTTCCAGTCAGGATTTCGTCCAAACCACAGCACTGAGACTGCTCTTGTAAAGGTCTTCAATGACATCCACTTAAACACAGACAGTGGCAGAACTTCAGTGTTAGTATTATTAGATCTCAGTGCTGCATTTGACACTGTTGACCACAACATATTACTAGACCGACTAGAAAACTGGGTGGGACTTTCGGCAACAGTTCTAAATTGGTTTGAGTCCTACTTAAAGGACAGAAAAAACTTTATTTCTATAGGTAAATACACATCTGAGTTGACAAATATGACATGTGGGGTACCTCAAGGCTCCATCTTGGGGCCTCTTCTCTTTAACATCTACATGCTACCACTGGCTCAGATAATGAAAAACAACAAAATAAGTTACCATAGCTATGCGGATGACACACAAATTTACGTAACAATTTCACCAGGAGATTATGCTCCAATTCAAACACTGAGTAAGTGCATTGAACAAATCAATGACTGGATGTGTCAGAACTTTCTCCAATTAAACAAAGATAAAACTGAGGTAATGGTTTTTGGAGCCAAGGCAGAACGTATAAAAGTTAGCGCTGAGCTTCAGTCTGCAATGTTCAAAACAACAGATAAAGCCAGAAATCTAGGTGTAGTCATGGACTCTGACCTGAGTTTCAACAGTCACATTAAAACAGTTACTAAATCAGCCTACTATCACCTAAAGAACATATCTAGGATTAAAGGACTAATGTCACAGCAGGATTTGGAAAAACTTGTCCATGCTTATATCTTCAGTAGAATCGACTACTGCAATGGTGTCTTTACAGGCCTCACTAAAAAATCTATTAGAAAGCTGCAGCTAATTCAGAACGCCGCTGCTCGAGTCCTCACTAACACTAAGAAAGTGGATCACATCACTCCTGTTCTGAAGTCTTTACACTGGCTTCCTGTGTGTCAAAGAATAGATTTCAAAATATTGTTGCTGGTTTATAAAGCTTTGAATGGTTTAGGCCCAAAATACATGTCTGACCTACTGCTAAATTATGAACCATCCAGATCTCTCAGGTCTTCAGGGACTGGTCAACTTTCTGTCCCCAGAGTCAGAACTAAACATGGTAAAGCAGCATTCAGTTATTATGCTCCGAATATCTGGAACAAACTCCCAGAAACCTGCAGGTCCGCTGCAACTCTTACTACTTTTAAATCCAGGCTGAAGACTTTTCTTTTTGCCGCTGCTTTTAATTGAACTATTCACATCTTAAACTGCACTGTAACTTTTAACTTTTATCCATGTATTTTTTCTTTTAATGTTTATTTTATTATCTTTCCTTTTTAATGACTGATTTTAAATGCCATTTTTAAAATGTCTTCCATTTTTGTAAAGCACTTTGAATTACCTTGTGTTGAAAGGTGCTATATAAATAAACTTGCCTTGCCTTGCCTTGCCTTGCCTTGCCTAACTCTAACTTTATGATGATTGGCAGGTTTTATGATTCTATCTTCTTACCCAGCGGGTCTCCCAGCATCTCCGCCAGTAGCCGGTGCTCGATGGTCTGGTAGGTGATGCCCACTACATGGCAGATGACTGTAAAGGAAGATCAGTTTAAGTTTAACAAGAATCTTTTCAGTTTAGGTCCCGTTATCTTCCACTAACATTTCATATTGACTGTAAGAACCTTGTTTTCAGAGTCAGTTGATGTACTCACACTTGCGAACAGAGTCCTCGAAACCAGTAATGCCGTCAATGAGCTCTCTGTTCTCCTCGAGACTTGTCTGTCAGGAAACATGGGGGGGTGATAATTAACACCAAACTTTGGAAAGAGGAAGGGAACAATGACGTTTCAGAACAAGGATGGCAGAGATGTTATGATGGATGAGTCAGCATTATGAAGCCAGGTCTATTTCTGTTCCTTTGTTTATCCAAGGTACGTACTGCAATCAGTTAAAACACACAGTGCACATGAGCGTTTCCCTATGGTTTAAATGAATTAACACAAAATGTCTGTTTTTTCAGCAAGAGGACTGTTTTTTTACTTGCTAACTTACCAATTATTATCAATAATTGTGCAAAGTAGAGACTCTTTTAACGTAATATTGACATTTCGTCTAGCATTAACCTTGTGAAGGATATTTCTTATCAAGTGTGTATAATTATGCTGTTGTCTGTCTGGGCGTCTTCTAGGGGTGTTGAAATTAATCGTTTCTATGATGCATCGTGATGCGGACGTGGACGATTCTGCATCTATACAGGGACAGAACATTATCGATTATAGCGTAGTAACGTTGCTTCCTGATATTCCGGCCGCGGCTGGACAATAACGTTCTTTTTCTTCTTTTTTTTCTGTCACACGAATATCAAATCGGTCTGTGACGCAGAGATCAGGGAACAGACGTGACAGCGGCACAGCGACTCCAAACACGGAGCAGTCTGCTTTATCCACCAACACAAGCACCAGTCCAGAACCAACAGCAGAAGGACCCGCTCTGAATCAGTCCGTGTCGCTGCGGCTCAGAGACACAAGGATTTATGTTTTTAAAAAACACTCGTTACAATCATGTCAGGTTTTTGGTGGATTTAATTAAGTCTTGGATTGCAGAGTATGAATGTCCTCTTGCTATTTTCAGACGATAAATACGTGTGTAAAGTTTGTGAAGGCAGGAGGAAAGCTTCCGCGATTACCGTCTCCTCTCCGTTCCTCCAAACCCCGCCCCCTCCCTGAAAATAATGAGTGACAGGCTGATAGTAACCTGATGGAAACTTTATTATTCACTTGATCACTGATTGAGATATGATGAAGCTAACTTAATCTCATACAATTATGGGATTTATGTAACAGTAAGACAGAGAATGTAAGTGTGCACCCACATGCACTATTTTTGATATGCTGTTGTAAATACTCCTGTTGTCTGCTGTGTTCAGACTCAAGTCCTGTGTGTGATGCCACATTCAGGACATTCAGTGTCCTTTTTTGAGCAGAAGACTGTTGCTAGAAGCTGCAGCTAGACTGCAGAAGCATTAGTTTATGTATTAGTGAGGATGGAACAATTTCACACACAGATATAGGGAGGCTAGACCTATACAATTGGTTTATTTTGGTTTATAAATTAATGTCAAGACATTTATGTTATTGATTTCTGACGCACTTTCTAAATAATAAAAAGGGAATTCATATTTATCTTACTGCATGTATTCATTGATGAAAAAGAAGCCATGTGCAGTAATATAGAAAATTGAGGATGCAACGCATTGTTAAGCATCGTGATATCGAATCGAAGACAGGATAATCGTAATCGAATCGTGAGACCAGTGAAGATGCACAACCCTAGCGTCTTCATACTGTTTCTGGGCACCCACTTTAAGTCTTAACACCAAGTTTTAACTTAAAATTAGTTTTGATATCAAGCATTCCGACTGCTTGAAAATGTTCCAATAACTTCAGAAACGTGTGTGTGTGTGTATGTGGTGTGTGTGTTACCCAGAAGCTCTGGAAGTGGCAGGTCTCCAGCAGGTTCCCCAGGTACAGGATCTGTCTGATGGGACGCTCCTCTTGCTGCGACACTGTAGTCAAGGAACTGGCTTCCGGCAAATAGACAGAGCCCCCAACCCACCCCCCAACCCTACACAGTGACACTGCTAATAATGATATACATTACATTTAGGTTAAGGCGAGACACTACAGGTGAATAGGGTAATTCTTTTAACTTAAGCTAGAAATTTCTCCAGTTAATTACTTACATTAAGACAATTGTTTTTTTTTTATTATTACAAGTTTTCTGAAATAGCATGTTTAAATATGCAAATGAGCCATACTCTAATTAAATATGCTCATATTTTAACACTTTTCAGGAACACAAATCTGAACATTGGATAAAGCCAGTTTCAAAATTCTTGTTTCATTTTGTAGTCATATTAGAATCTAAGGCTTTTACAGAAGGGGTTTTGGATATCTCTTTTTATCACTCCATAAATCAGAAAATACTGTCAACAGCCCTAAAATATCAATTTTCAACATGTTTTTAGGTATAAAATGTTATATAATTCAGGCTATGAATGATATATGAATAAACCCTTCTGTAAAAGCCTTCAGAATATTGATAGGAATATAACTGGAAGGTTTGGTGTATGTAAGTGCTACTGACGTGGACATTTCGGGCTCAGTAGGAGAAAAAACTCATTTTGAGAAAACGACCTTTAAAGATTGCTGTGTGTCGCTACCTAAACCCTGCTGTTCTTTGGATGACAGATTGCACATCAACGCACTCCGTGAAGGTATTTCATGTTCGGGATCATTTGTTTTTTGTATAACCTTCAGGGTTTCCCACAGACTTTACGGCACTTCCTACGCCTGTTTCCCTTTATAAATCACAATCGCCTCGTAACGCCCATATTTGCCTATAAATAGTCAAAGAAACGCCCATTATTTAATTCTGACCGACTGCATGAAGAAGATCGCAGGAAATGACGACAGAACAGCTAAAAAAGACATCTCACAGATTTTGGTTATTTTGGGGAGGTGGAGATAAATCATATTGTTTGGTGGATGCAGTTTGAACCAGAGTAGCAGCATGGAGGTCGGATCGTCACCAAAATAAATAAATAAGTGGTCCGAAAAAAGTTACTGACAAAGAAAATACACATAACCTTCCTCAGGCAGTGTGTTTGTACCGGGGACAGGAGACCCCCCCTGATGAGAAACTCTAAGAAATGATCGGGGAATCCCTCCGGAGTGGAGTCATGACGACTGGATCTGAATTATTTTGTTGTATTTGGTGGTTTGTGTTCCAGCTGTCGATCAGCAACTATATATCCATAATGCACCAGTTAAAGGAAATACAACTAATGTGTTGTGTTATATTAGCTGTACAATTTACCACATATGGTGTTCTTAGTTTCCATACATCCTGTGTTTTACGAGCGACTTATCAAGTCTTGGCAAACGGCATAAAACACGATTAAACGTGATAGTATATAAAACCATGCTCGTATCTACAACCTATAGAAATGCAAAACGGCGTCAGTTTAGACGTAATTCTGTCCCCCTGCTTACCGCATCATTTATGAGAAAACATTTCATTACATTAACACAACATATTCGAGGTGGTTTTAAATAACATATCCGTATTTATTTATTTCTCCAAGTTATGTTTTTGTGTGCACTGAGGAGTCTCAAACAGGCGTTTGTTTCATCATTCTAAGATTGGCTTTAATCAATGTTTGAAAATTAATTCATATTTGATAAATGAGGTAACATTTTATTGATGGTATTATTTCCACATATTTCTCTCCATTCTTCCTTCTGCCAACGGTGTCGCAGTTTCTCGTCTCTCCCGTTTGTGTGCTTAGTGCGTACGCATGGGTTAGAGTTTGCGTGGAGGACCGCACATTTTCCCGTCAAGTTAGTATTTTATAAATCGCAAACATTGCGTAGAAACTGGCGTACGCCATTTTTTGAGCGTATATCCCTTTATAAATGAGGCCCCAGGTGAGGTAAAGGACTCCGAGTGTTTAGATAGTTAAAGGAAACCTATCATGCTATATTTAAATGATATATTGTAGGGCCATACCTATATAAAGGTATATTTATACGTTTCTGTTTTCAAAATACCAAACAGATCATGATTTTAAGCCATGCCTCATTTCACTCTATTTGCTGTTCTCCAGCACTGTTTTTGCAGGGGGCTGATTCTGTGAGCTGCAGCTGACCACGCCCCCCTGCAGGAGAGGGGAGCGTGCTCTGATCAGCTGCTGGGCTGTCAGAAGAGGGGGAGAAAAATAGATCTCCGTCTTCCGTGTTTTATTATAGCCTATTATTATATAGAGTCGTTAATCATTTGTTTTAAAGCTCAATAAATAACAAAGAAGACCTTTCACCGGCACTTTTCTAATTTTGTCCGGAAGATTTAAACTTTAACGGACATCTTGACCGGCGAAAGAAACTGAAACTCTGCCGCACGGTCGCCTCGTTCCTTGGAAGAGGCGGAGAGGTGGGTGTTTGTCATATGCTGGTGGACTAACCGGAGAGAATTACAGTGCTTGCCTCGACGGGGAGGGATTGCATTGAATTAAAGCAGCAGGAGCAAACGCTTGCCTCGGGGAGGGAGAAAAAAAGCCACAGCGGAGAATAAACAGAAGGGTAACCATGGTAACCATGCGCGGGAAGTCTTCTTCGCTGCTTTTGTGGCAGACTACAGTGCCACTTACAGGCCTGGCATATGTACAGCGTCTCCAGCGCTTTCGAGCGGCAATGGCCGGCCGTGGCCCAACCCCACATTCCCCTGATAGGTGGAGAGTTGGCCCAATAGCCGTAGCGTCACTTTCCTGACGTCAGTAAAGTGTTCAAATCTGGATCAGTTTTTATCAGATCCGTTGCAGCCCCTTTTTTAGAGATTTGGGTATGGAGGAAAATAGAGAGGGTTGTGTTTTCTGACACTTGGTGAGTTCCCTGGAACACCGGGGACACATATTCATGTATAAAAGATGTACAAAAGTGCATTTTGCATGATAGGTCCCCTTTAACTTAGTCTAAGTTCTCAGTGGGTCTCAAACGGTTTAGTCACCATTTATTTAAACACATATTTCCATTTGAGGGGGTAGTGATTAGTAAAATATGCATGAATAAAAAAAAAAAGTTAACTAGGGGGAAAAAGGTAAGATACACTTTTAAAACTTGTTGAGAGCTAAAACTAGTCTTTGCTGCTGCCTCAAAGAGGAGAAGAGAGGAGGGAGAGTGAAGGGTCTGCTAACAAGCGACCAACAGAAAGGTTAATGTTAATGTTGTTGCACGTCACAAAGACATGTCACCTCAATCCCCCCCCGCTACCAGCACCCACCCCAAGTATATTTCAGATCTGTGGGAAACACTGACATTTCATAACATTAACACAACTTGTCACTTGCTTCGTGCAAGTGACAATTGTTGTCGTCTTCTCTGTGAACGTTTTTTTCCTGTTCTTTTGCCATTTAGAGATTTAAATTTCCAGCGGAAAGCTAATCAGGAAGTGTTTTAGCACACCACGTGACGCATCTGAACGAATCACGTTGTCAGAAATTGACACCAGCCAATGAGATTTCGTTGTTTGGTTTAAGACCCCTTTGTACTTTCACGATTGGTTGCTGATACAAAGGAAATGACCATATTTGGATCCGATGAGATTGTGCAGGAGAGACGGAGCTTTCCAACGATATCTCTGTTGACATGGTGCAAACAGCGGTCGCGGTACTTTATTTTACGTTAGAATGCTAACTTTTGGTGAATTTAGGAGAAATCTACAGACGCAAATAGACAAACTATAGTAAAATAAACACCTAAATGTGTATTTTGTACGTTTTCCTTCCAAAAGCATAAAAGAAAACATGTTATGGAATCAAAATAACACAAAATCTAAAACTTGAACACAGTGCATGAAAAACTATGTTTTTGCCTGCCGTGTCTCGCCTTAACTACAGGAATTAAATCACCAAAACATATCAAGACTATACATAAGATAAAGGATATTTCACCCACTGGTTATTTTAAGCAGAGCGATTTCACCACTGCATAGTATATCATTTACTACTGCACCATACTGTGTTGACCAAAATAATAGCTTGATTGATGATGATTTTTGACCTAGTCAGACGGCATCAGATAAAGAAACAGCACCAAAAGGATACGTGTGTTTGGTCGATCATACACTTGCAGAGAGTGAAGTCGGTGTGTGGCAGGTTGGTCAGAGCCTTGAGCAAAATCTGAGAGGTTACCGTAACCTGGAAGTAGGCTGGGTTGAACTGGTACCTGCGGAGGAAAACATTTGTTTACTGCACCATAGCTTGGGAAGCCCATTCTTTTTTCTGATCAGTTTGAAACTAACATGTTACTATTTTAATCCAACTGAACCACACTCGCACAAGGTAAAACATCCAAGCTAACGTTATTAGCCAGTATTTGAATAGTGGCTGCCTGTCTGTGTAACTTACAGCTTGAGGACAGCCAGGTTGGCCTCCAGGTCGTAGGCGTTCTCTTTAGCTTGTGTCTCCACATAGCGCTCCAGCGTAGGAAGGTTTTCTGGGTTGTACCTGTGAGGAGAGACACCAGCATTAACTAGGAATCAGTGTGGATGACTCAGTGCTTCTATGATGTGGATATACACTGCAGGTTATACATTTGTGGCACATAGTTATGGATGGTTATACATGGTTACATTATTTGCAATGCAGTGATTGTAATATGTATTTGAAAAAGCAAGTGCATCTTAAGTGTTTTACAGCTGAATTTCTCTGCTAAACTTTATTCCTCACTTGACGGTTTCTATTTTTTGGGCTTATATTTGTGTCCATGATGTTAACCAAAGTCCTTTGGCTTATTTCAGGATGTTGGCATTCCTTAAGGAACTTTTCATTTATTTCAGCTTTATTAAAAGACAGGGTCATAGGAAGTATTATCCAGGTAAGCCTCTATATGTCAGGTGTTGTTTTGAAGTGGAGTCATCAACATTAAGCAGGTAACATCTGTCACTTTTTGTTTACTTGCAGCCCTAATATAATTGTATATACAAACTTCATATATAGTAAAGCATTGACAGGGAACATGTTGCACAATTAATAGTTCTACTTTCATACATGATAATAGCATACTTTAGGAATGTAATGTTAAGAATGCAGGACATTTACTTGTATTGGAGTAATTTCCCAAATGGTATACTATTAAACGTTACTGAAGTAAAATATCTGAAAACGTATTTCACTATTTATTTCATGACTATGGGGAAGATGTTTTCATGTTGGTCGAGCAGAGCTAGCTGATGTTCAACTACTTTTCCATTGCTCGTTTGCTTCGTCATACCAGTCTACATAATACAGTGTTGGCATAAGACAGATATAAAATCAACAGTTTCATTTTATAAACTGCACACAATTATTTGTGAGGATGCTTTGTGTAACAGACTTAACTTAGCATAGCTTAGCTTAAAACATTAGCAAACAGGCTAAGTTAGCGTTAGCCTAGCTAGGTTATCAATACGTTAGGAGCACCATCCTTACCTATCGATTCCTCGTAGGAGCTTCCCCACGTTCGCCCTCATCTGATCGAAAGACGACGACATTTGGTCCAAACTTTGACAGCCAACTTTAGGGTGAAAACCGAATGAAGTCTGCACGTGGGCCGCGTATCAGAAAGCACCGGGCGGAGTGAGAAAGAGTCGGAACGGAAAGAGCGATGCACAGGCGGACCGGAAACAATACGGACCTGCACAATCGAAGGACCGCTGTCTTCTTCTTCTTCTTCTCCTGGTTTACCGGCAGCTTACATCCTTAGTGGTGCATTACTGCCTTCTAAAGTTCACTCCTGCTCCTTCGGGGCAATATGCATTATTTTATAGGATAATGGACTCCAATACATTTTTCGATCTATTGCATGCCACCCTGAATTGATTGTTGTGACTGAACAAATTAATTCACCTTTGACAGCTTTTTAAACAATGTTTATCAACTGATTTTGGACATCTCACAGTCATGCACTGTTCCTTATACACATTATTTAACGCGGAAAGCAAGATTAATTTTCATACCTTATTTGTTCTGTCTTTTACATGTTCTTCTGTTCAGCCCCTGTTGACTTAAGATCTGACAAAGATAAGTGAATAAATGATGTGATGTGATATGATGTGATATGACTGATTTCATTTCATTTTTTTCATTTAATCGTTTATTTGAACAGGGACAGTGCACATTGATGAACAATTTAAACAAATAATGCTTCAAAAATGTAAATATGCCGGATTTTAGCTTTGAGCTAATTTCCATCCGTAGTCCCTCACATACAACGTTTAAGAACATGACATTTATATACATAGCAAAAATAAATACATGATATGCAGAAAGAGCATGAGCAGTGTACAGGCCCTGACACACCAGGCAGTCACCAGAGAACTCGCCGACACCGACATTGACTGTTGCATCGGCGAGTTCTCCTGCGTCTTAGAGATGGGCGAGTCCTGATTCATCCGGATCATTAACCCGGATCCTAGAAATGAGCTGGTCGTGACGAGTCTCCCCTCTCCATTAACCCGAGTCCTTGAGTCCCACACTTGGTGTGACGTACAAATTAAAACTATAAATTGCGTCACTCGCTACTCTCTTTATAACATGTAAAATCACATTACAACGTACCCCAGTCCATCTGCCTACCCTTTAGCAAGTATACAGGATAGCTGCCTGCCAGAAGTGATCGTTTGGCTCAGGGGAGGGGACGCGGATCAGTGAAACTTCCTGCAGACTCGTGGGGACTCAGAGGAGCCGACGGCTCCTAACCGTAATAGCATAGCAGATCCAGAGATCCATACTCGTCATGTGCACGAGCATAGCCCCTCCTCCAGCACCCGGCTCCCGCGCTATCAACAGCAGACTCGCAGACTCGCAGATTCGCAGATTCGCAAATCCTGACTCGCTGCAACACACAGCGGATCAGACTCGTGCGGACTCAGAGCCGTAACCATATAGCAGCAGATCCAGAGATCCAGCAGACTCGTCGTCATGCACAAGTCCACAGCAGACTCAGATTCGCAAATCCTGACTTGTGCGGACTCGGAGCCGTATATAGCAGCAGATCCAGAGATCCAGCAGACTCGTCCTCATGCACGAGTCAACAGCAGACTCAGATTCGCCAAATCGCAAAATAACCCTTTTTTTTGTGATCAACATTTTTTATTAAAGCAAAAATACACTGTGTAGCGGAGGTTAATATAACGTCAGTTTAATAGATAGATAGATAGATAGTACTTTATTGATCCCAAATTGGGAAATTGTTGTTACAGCAGCATAAAAGGCATTTTACAATAAAACAAAACTACAAAATATACAAGAATAGAAATAAAAATAAAATAAAATATAAAATATACATGTCGAAATAGAAAATATACATGCAGATATTATATATATATATATACAAATATATATATATATTCAAAATATATGGAATAATAATATGCTCGTGAAATGCATCAACTTTTCGGTTTCACCGATAGGATTTCTACGGTCTTGGTGATGCTGACTCATATGACTCAAATGACTCGTATGATCCGGATCTCTTCAATGACTGACTCAGAAGACCCTGAGTCCGTAAAAGGATCCGGATTTGCCATCTCTACTGCGTCTTGGCCATGTGTCGCACTGGAACCATGGATGTATAGAGTGGCGAAGTCACGACCATCTACTTCCGGTCCATGGGACCTTATTTCGGAAAAATAATGTATTGAAGTCAATGGAGAGAGAAAACTTATCTTTCGATCCCGTTTGAATTGTGCCATGAATTACACATAAGATGTTTGTCAATCTTAAAAAATCATTTCCATGTCAAAAAAGTCACAGTTTGTCGTAAAACTGTTGAAATATAAGACTATGAAAAATACGCAACTAGAAATACTACAAATCCCAGAGTCGCGTAAGTGATGTCACAATTGTTTTCCTCCACTAAAATAGAGATAGCTAAGATAAGATAACGCCATTTAGATAGAATCTATCTATATGGCGCTGGCTAAGATAAGATAACTTTAACAAGATGCCTGTGTGCTTAGTACCAGGTTGTTATCATACCAGCATTGGGTCTTGCTCGTTCTTTTGCTTCCCGTCTGATGAAAGGACCAGGAGTGGCTTGATCAAGTTAGCTACCTAGCTAGTAGCTAGCACGTTAGTTAGCATTACAGCCTTGTAATTTTTATTAGCCTTAACATGAAGTAACATTAAGTAACCCAAAATGTTAAACAGTAAGAGTAGTAGTCATATTTCGTGAACCCTTTGAAGAGTACTGTCACCGGTGTGGTCATTCTATAATACACAATTTAAGCCCGGGGAGAAATGCTAACGCTAACGCTAGCGATCTTTTCTACTTCATGCTATCTGCACAAATGGTTGACATTAAACATTAAAACGACCAGGCAGTTCAGAGAGAATCAAAGGAAGGCAGGCAGGCAGCTTTGCATGACATTCTTCAGGACGTGTTTCATTGTGGTGATAGTGAGGGTAGTCAATCGTTTTGTTGACAAGACAGTAGTGACGGCCATCTTGGTGACGTGTGTTGTTGACCAGAGATGTAGTTCATTGAGCGTTTCACACAAACAAATGTGTTACTTCACAGTTTTACGACACATTTCTTTTTTTTTTACTTGCAAAATTATCTTTTAAATTGACAAACATCATATGTGTAATTCGTGGCACAATTCAAACGGGATCGAAAGATAATCTTTCTCTCTCCATTGACTTCAATACATAATTTTTCCGAAATAAGGTCCCATGGAGGTCCACCGGAAGGGGAGGGACTTCGCCACTCTATAATAAGAACTGGATACAGCGTGGGAGGCGGGGCCTCATTCATTCCTATGAGAGTTGCTCATTCGCGCATGATGATAAAATGGCCCAACTTTTGAGAGAGCGAAACGTCACAGATTACCCGGCATGCCTGAGAAGTACCCGTATGTGCGCTCATAGCGCATGCGCAACTTTAACCATGCCCCCCAAAATGCTCGTTCACATCAAGCACGTCAATTTGCGTACACGTAACAGCACCGCACGTTCATGACAGCATGGTAATGGTTTGTTATTATGATAGATTTGATATTAACGAGGCGGCAGTTAGCAGCTAGCGGTTAGCTAGTAATTATGCTAATTTACACATCAATCGTTATGTACTTTTATATTACGCTGTAACAGGATCTAGTGATATCCAAGCAACAGAGCTTCATTTAGCATGAAAGAATTATTGCACTGTATATATATATATATATATATATATATATATGTATATATACAGTGCAATAAGCTTCTTAGTGCAATAAGAAGCTACAGGGACGTTAATCTACATCGGTAATATTAACTTTATTTAATACAACATTTACGGTACAAGATTTAATCATACAGCCCATGTAGTATAATATTTTTACAAATGATGAATTACAGCAAACATGTGCAATATATCCATTATTACAGCTCCGTGGGCTGGCAGTAAGGCGATATGGGTCCGTTCTTATTGTACATCCATGGGTAAAGATAAACGCATGTACTAGTGCTGAACACGTAACATGAACGTGCCGGGCGGCGCGGTCCCGTGGGTTAGATGCGCGTTCATAATGCAGAGGGAAATAACTCTCAGAATAACGTTATTAGCACATTTTTACAACTTGAGGAACGAATGTTTTTAATAAGGGCTATACAAGTGTTCATACTGGGTAGTTTATTTAGTTTACAAAAAATTATCCAACGATTTACAGACCACTCTTTCCCCATGTAAGTCAATGGGAAAAAGTGTTTCCGGGCCTGGCAACCAAAAGGAAGTGTAGTACCGCCGTTTGGCCAGCACGAATATTTTCATCTGAGTCCGGCGCACTTCCTGGGGGCTTGACTGGAACACACCGCAAAGACTTCAGCCGAGCACGTACGAACTGCGCATGCGTGAGTGGCAATAACTCTCCTTACCAGCAGGCGGTGGTAGTGTGTATTCGTCATTCAAAATAGGCAACAACCGGAAAACAGAGAAGAAGAACAGACTGATATAAACAAACAACAAATAGCGTGTGCGTTCCATTTTCACTCTCGTCCATCGAAAACATGTTTTAGAATATAAAAATACATGAATGATGAAATGAGCACATAAAGTGCAGACATACTATAAAATCACAGTTAATAGACCTGCATCTGATGATCGCAGTGTTCTGGCGGGTGTGTAGTTTATTGCATGGGCGTCGCAGCCATTATATGAGGGTGGGACAAGTCCCCCCCACTTTTTCAAATGATTAGTTTAGACCCCCCCACTTTTACTATGCGCAAAGTCCGTGGATCGGTCTATCCACTCGCCGCACTTTGTAGAGCGCTGTGTCAGTGCTTCACTATCAAATGAAATCCATTCCACTTGCTTATTGAGAGAATGCCCAAATCAATGAAACTCCGTACCATGTTTTCACTGCTACTTTGTACCAAGGCAGATTCTCACATAGCGCGCGCATGTTCAAGGAGTGTTGTCATAGTTGGACAGCTCAGGGGCCTCATTTATAACGCCTTGCGTAGGATTGACGTAGGAAGGTTGCTTACGTAGTACAAAGCACAAAAATAGGTACATACATTTTCCGCCATTTTCCGATTCACAAAACATTGCGTACCGGCGAGGGAAGTGCGTACGGCACTCCCTACGCCTGTTTCCCTTTATAAATCACAATCGACTCGTAACGCCCATATTTGCCTATACATAGTCAAAGAAACGCCCATTCATTCATTCTGACTGACTGCATGAAG